ACATCCCGTATTTTTTAACATTTTTCGAGAGAAGAGGTTGTTCCTTTCTTTAGCCATTAATGGCTTGTCACTTTTTGCCACATTTGGCAAAACATCATGCCCCCCCCCCCCCCAAGTGAATCATAATTCTCAATATTTTTTGAGAGAATGAGTTATTTTTTTAATTTTAGCCATTAATGGCCCATGAAAATTCTCTAAAGTCATATTATCTTCATGACTTGGTGTGCTAATCCTTCAAGCCACATACATTGGCTCTTTATGAATGATTGGCTCTTCAAAAATATGTGTATTAACTATACGAGCCACATTATTTTCATATCTTAATTTCATTGGCCATTATGCCTTCTAATTTTTGCTTCCAATATCAAATTTCTTCATCAATTAGAACAATTTGGCCTTTAAGTCAGTGAATTTTTCCATCATAGTAATTTAAATCTCTTTGAGTTAAATAATACAAAGATGATGAAATTATTTAAAATCTTTGCCTATAAAGATAATTAGGGGTTGTTTGGGGTGTCCTAAATAAGTGCACTTTTTGTCTTTTTGAACTAAAAAATTGAGAAAAAAAATATGGATGTTTGGGTTAACTTTTTGACTATTTATGGAAAAATGTGTATTAAAAAATTGTATAAATTAGTGTGTAGGGAGAATTTAGGGAAAAATTAGAATTGGGAGTTATGCAGCCGTAATTTTTGACTTTTGGTGAATAATGATAACTTTTTAATTTTTTGAGTAACTTTTTGGCTTTTTGGATTTTTCATGAGTTCCGCAACTTGGCTAAAATTTCACTCCCGCACCAATAAATTTCATCCTCACAACGCCAAATTATTCTTTTCACGTCATTTGTCATGTCGTTATATTGACAATAAGAGGTAGAACCACCACCATAACACTGCCAATTTTTAGAATATGAGGCATTCCACTGATAATCTGTTTCCATGGGAACATTGCCACTCCATTGGCGGTTTGTATCCAAGGGTGCACAAGATATAAGCTTACCTGTTGAAGGCATGATTTCATAAGAATAAATCTGCTTGTTCATCATCATTATTCCAAGTTAGAATGGTCCCACTAGGCATGCCAATTTATGTTGGTAAAAATCTAGTTTAAGCCCAATCGATAATGATTTGATTGACATACTCAAATAAATTCCAAGTAAACACAAATAAAAATCAGGCTTTATGGTTGAGTTATTTGCTTTAAACAGATTAAGGATTTTCCTGGAGGTAATTAAATGAAGAGGAAATGGAATAGAATAGAATATGTATTAATTCGAATAAATTGTCACTTGTCACCAGTTGCAAGAACTTAAACAAGAACAAAAAATTGAAGAAATACTACAATCGACAGAAAGAAGAGAAGTGGGGGTTGGAAAAAGCTACTAGTTTAATCTACTCCTAAAACGACTAATTTAGAACTATTCCTAAATAACTCTACATGAGTGTGTTTGATGGTTGATGATGATCGATTGTTCTTCTTTGTATCTCTCTTGGCCTATTTATACGCTCAGCCACATAAGAGAAAGACATAACTTAAGTCCATGATTTCCTCAACAAGTCCATGGTTTACTAAACATTATCCATATCTCAAGTTTGATAGGAAACATTTTGTAGATTTGGTGCTTGATTTGATCTTAGCTCCTTGATCTTAGCAACTAACTTTCAAATTGCTACAGTTCTTGACTTTCTGGCCCTCCATTTAACATGTCATCATGCCATGTCCTTAGCACATCTGCCATGCCACGTTAGCATGTCTGTCGATAGAAATAATAATAAAAATAAATGTGGTCAATGTTATTCTTTGAAAATAATTCATGATTTTAATCAACAGATCATAATCGAACTTAGCCATAATTAATAGACCACAATTAACAGAAAAATAAAATGTGGTGCAAATAGAGGCATAATAGAGTTCTGATCAACGTTTCCTTATCACCTCCTATATCAGAAGAATCGGCTCTCCTCCGCCGAACCTCATCAATCAAACCCTACAAAAACTCATATCTCTTCTTCTGCAAAGTCACCATACTCTTCTTCAATTCCCTCCCCCGATAAGCAATCCATCTCAAAATTGGAACATAATCGCACAAATTCGATGGCAAACTCACAAAAAAAAAATTGTCCTTTAATCCTTCAACAAATTGCTTCCCTAACAAAAAGATATAAATAAATAAAAAATAAAATAAAAAAATAGAAGACAATTGCAATAAGTAGGCCAGTTAACATATTAGATTCAATCCAAATCCGTTAACAAATGCCCAATCTCATAATATAATAAAATTTATGATTTATCTAATTATTGTAATAATATGATTTGATTTGATTTACATACTTTAACTTTTACTTGTATATATATGTATATATGGGGGATTGAGAGCTTCTATATTCCATGATTGTAATGAAGGTTCTCTATTATGACTTTGTTTGGGAAGTGAATTAGTTTTTTGGCTTTTTATTTTTTAACTATTTTAATCTATGGCTAAAAATTTCTTTTGAGTTAGATTTTTGATTTTTTTAACTTTTGTGCGAGAAAAAGTAAAAATAATTATGATTTAAATGTGACATTTTGGGTCCATTTGGGAAGCTGGTTAAAAGCCAGCTTTTGACTTTTAACAGATTTTGGGTCACATCACCTCTCACATTTTTTAACCACAAAAAGACAAAAAAAAAAAGTCAAAAAAGCCAAAAAGCCAACTTTTAGTCTATTTTATCTTTTTGTGACTATTTTAACCCAAAAACCTCCCAACCCAACATGTTAAACGAGGGCTATAATATCTATGGGTTGTGATATTAATATTTTAAATTTGAAAAGAATCATTACAAACCCTTAAATAATGTAATAAAAATCTTCCATTATAACTTTAGAATTGAATGAATCATAATCCAAGGAAGGCAACAACATTCACACACAAAAAAAAATTATATTAACTTGGTTTAAACTTCTTTTACTTTAATTTTTATCTGTTAATCTCTCATAAAATAAAATAAGTCTAAAATTTTAAGTATAATATGTGGCTGTCATTATCTATTATACTTATTTCGTGGGATAAATTCCAAAAACTTTGAAATGTTATTTATAACATTACAATTGAATACAGTACAATAGTCACCTAATGATATATATCAAATCCAATAATCCTATAGTAAAATCACATCCAAATCCAATTGGATCACCTTTTCGAATTGAATAATTGGATAAACTTGATTAAGATGATTTCTAATTCAATCTGTCATGATCAGAAGGGAATTGAATTATGGCAAATTTGATCTGCTGACATGCCTAACCATAACTAGCTAAAAATATAGATCCATTAGCACATTTTAATTTTGAAATTGAGAGAACAGTCACTACAAGAATTAACACTTTTGCCGACCAAAAAATTGGTCACTAAAAGCCCATTTTTAGTCGACAAAAGTTATTCGCGACCAATTTTTTTAGTCACTACTTTGGTCGCCAATTGAGGGTTGGCAAAAGTAATTCGCGACCAAAATTTTGGTTGGTCATGAAAAGTTGGATTTGCCGACTAAATTTTTGGTCGCTAAATATATCATTACTGTGACTAATCCATTGTCGCTAAAACATTTTGGTCGCGAAAAGTGATATTTTGCCGACCATATATCTTAGTCGCCAATTGTCACATTTCACGACCAAAAAATTTGGTCGCCAATTATCACATTCAACGACTAAAAAGTTTGGTCGCCAATTGTGACATTTCACAACCAAAAATTTTGGTCACCAATTGTGACATTCTACGACCTCTTAATTTGGTCGCCAATTGTCACATTCCACGACCAAAATAATTAGTCGCCAATTGTCACATTCCACGACGAAACATGTTTGTCGCTAAAAGAAATGTTTGCGCAACTAAAACTTTAGTCGGCAATAGACCTATTCGCGACCAAATCCTTTGGTTGCCAAAATTAATAATTTTAACGACTAATTATTTAGTCACCAAAGCTTGGTGATACACTGACTACTTGATTTAGTCAGCAAAAGTATAACTTAATCTTTCCCACTAATCACGCCAAAACTATAAAAACAAAACCAAATTTTGGTCGCCAACATCCAACAAAATAAACCTGTAATTTTTAATAATCCATCCAATTTATTCAATATAATCTGTAATTTGCAAAAATCATTCAAACCAACAAATAAATTGAATCATGAACATTCAACAAAATACATATATCAACCATTTCTGAACCTGTTTAATTAAAGTCAGCAACTATTATAAGTTTTCATCCACAAATAATTCCAAACTACATATTTCATCTAGCATAAAAATTTAAAACATAACAAGTACTTGTTATTATGTTTTAAATTTTTATCCATATACATCAATCAAAAAATATAACTAGTAGTCTACCAAATATTTTCTATACACACCCATCCAAAAATTTAACTACTAGTGTATCCAAAAATATAACTACTAGTCTACCCTAATATTTTTCATATACATCTATACAAAAATATATAATCCTTCCAAAAATGCAAAAAGTGCCAATTTGTCCTGTGAAATTTAGCTTTGTGCACGAGTTCATCCATCTGTACCAAAGAAAAAGTGAAATAATGTCAGGTAAAATTGGACAAATAATGAAAAATGTCCATGGAAAGCAAAGGTCACATTAGCAAATTAAATGACTATCATTATCAAATTGTAAACAAAACAATAGCATTCTTATGTCTATAGAATAAATTGGATCAGCCACCATTCCAGATCCAATATAGTGCAACACAGCAGACACCAACATGGCAACTGAAATTGATCCATATTGTCAATAACTCCTATCTTCCTCAATTCACATGAAAGGTTCAATCAATTCAATATGAAAACTAGTTTTTCATGAAAGGTTGACAATATGAAGACTAATTCAAGTGAAAAGTTGACAATATTTCATGAAAGGTTGACAATATGAATTGATCCATAGTCTTCAATTGATCCATAGTTTTCTTTCAGACATCCAGTCTTCAACATTGAATTAGCCTTCAAATTTTATTTCCCCCTTTTTTAAGACACAGAGATATTGAAAACAGAAGAATAAAGCATCTCTGATCTAATGTTTCCTCTCAAATTATAGTAATGGTTTAAAAATTAACAAGAAATACTAACCAACAAGCCCTCTTGGAGTGCCAGCTGCTTTGTAGTTTCTACAACTTCGTCACTGGATATCTGAAAGAATTAGCATACCACGATAAATAACACACGGTAAACAGAAAAACATGGCAACCTAATACAAGTATGACAAATATAGAAAAGAATTTGAACAAGATTGTGGGATATTCATACATAGACAAGCAAATTCATATTCCCAAAAAGAGTGACTACCTCACTCCATTCCGTTCACAAAGGCCAACCAGCCAAAAACAAGAGTAGAAAACAATTTTATTAGGCCTATTGTTACTACAACAATAGAAAAGTAAAGAACAAATCAACATTTCTGCTTATGACCATAGGAAATATTTTGTATAAGCGGACAATCCATCATACATGTTACCACTGCATCACTCTGCAGAATGCATGAAAGCCAAATTCTTACACTAATATGTTGTAGTTGTTCCCCTGGTGCAAATTATGTAATGAATAGTGCTTGTTTTCCTTCGTGCAAATTTTGCATTGCTTGTTTGCCTTTGTTATATTATCTATATAGGAGTTATATAATTTCAAAATTTTTATGTTGATTGAATGTGAATCTTGTATAGTAAAAGATGAATTCAATCACTAATGGGTAGTCAAACCCAAAAGATGTTGTGAGGTTCATAAAGCACATTTAATCACTAAACCACCCTAGGTGGTCTCTCAATCAAAATCACTGCAATGCAGCCAGGTTTGGATGCCCATATTTGAATCACAAAAAGTAGACATCCATTTATACTTTCAAACACACACCCATAGAGAGAGTGAGTGTGGATCCCACATTCGCTCGCACACGCACAAACAATGGGCTGTTGAAAACTTGAAACATTTTATGGAAACAAGCATATAGTGTGTATGGTGGATCCAAAACAAAATTGAGCTAACTTTAGGATTGAATAGTTGCACTCAAATGTAGCCCCTATTAGAAAAGTGTCTGATGGGAAAATGGAGATTGAAGGATTTGTTGAACTCTATAAAACCATCCCTTTCAAAGAATTACGGGGTCAAAATGAAGATGTTTCTATTGGATGAGTAGTGAGAAAGAGAAAAAGAAAAAAAGAAAAAAGAAAAAGGGATATGGTATTAAAACAAATGTACTTTGCAGCATGATTAACAATGAAAAACAATTTTATTTGAGGTCTTTTCCTCTACCCTATTTTTGAAGTGCATTGTTAATGGTTACTCATTTTTTCTGGTGCAGGGCAATATTCAGCTAATGATGCATGGGATTTCAAAGAATTAGAAGAATCAATCACCAATGACTATCTATAATTTTTTTATTATTATTTGATTTTGGTTGCTGTTGCTACGCCCCAAAAATATCTGAAGCAGCAACATCGATCAAGGAACACCCTTTTTAGTCCTTTATTCTTGTATACATGTAACAGCTGCTTCTGCATTTTATTTGTTCTTGGGTGAAAATTGTGAATGTAAAATGCTGTTGTTCCTGTGATTGTTTCTGTCATGTGATGGTTATTTCAAAATATTTACTTGTAGGTCAGTTTATGTATATATTTACTACACTCTACATACCTATGAATGTGCTACAAAAATTAACCAATTGAATGTACAAGGAGAACAAAAAAAATTGCGAAGTAATCAAAATTTGAGGTAGTTATATAGAGGTAGTTTTACAGTGACAATTTGGGAATGGACATTAATGTGATTGGTAGTTCACGTCAATGGAGTTGTATGTTTTATATATACAAAAATGCTATAGACCATGAAAATTTATCATGAATCTTATCCTGAAAATAAGTGTGGTATATATATAAAGTTAGTCTCGCAATGATAGTAAACCATTGATTGATTTCTCTTTTTGGGTAATTTTTTTAAGTTTGTAGTATTGTTGTTTACTCAAGAATCTACATGCACATACAAGTTTTTACAGCCTTAGGTCCAGGCTACACATAAAACACAAATCCTGAACAGATTGCCATCCCAAAATTCTACATATCCCTGGACAGTTAGAAAGCCAATACTAGCCCAAGCAACAAGGCTTGAATCTGTTGATTTGAGTACTTCTAATTTTGCCACCAACATTGGCAAATGAAACATCAAATGAGAAGCCCCTAATACCAACATTGGCAAATGAATAGTGCTTGTTTGCACCAGGGGAACAAGCCAAAAGAGTTGCAAACTTAGTTTTCCCTCCATCTCATGGGTACTAAGAATGTCATATGTAATGAATATGGAACAAATTTCATAACTAGGTTTGATTTGACTAATTTAAAAGCAAAAAGCACTTACCTTTATGCTAGGATTTTGCTGTTTAAGGAATCGACCAACCTCAGAAATTGTTCCACCAGTGCCGATCCCTGCAATAAAAATGTCCACCTTGCCTTGTATCTTCCCAGATCTCTGGACCAGTTGTCTCATAGTGAACCTGCAAAAAAATAATAAATAAAGAGATGAGAAGGTAAATTTAACATAGATTCAAGCATCTAGGGATGAGAACGCAACTCATTTTAAAACCTTATTTCTATATTTTGCTTTCTCTTTCCCCCCATCTCTTCCCGAATTTTAACTTGGTATTAGAGCTTCCAATCAAATTCAATCACACCTTAAACGCACTGAAATTTGTGAGAAATTATCACACCTTACACGCTCTAAAATTTCTGAGAAATTATCATACACTTTCCACACAAGGAAATCGTAACCTGTTGTATTGTTGACGTTAGCGTGAGAGTGCTGAAGTCAGCATGGCATCAACACAATCGTGATGTCAGCGATTGAGATGCATACTGTTTGATTCATTTCTTCATGCTGAGTCCTATGGTGATTCTTATGAAATTTTTTGAAGCCATCTGACAGCATTTTCGATTTTTGAAATGTTTTTCAGAATTTTTTAGTTCATTTCTTTTATCCGTTTACTAGAGAAGCTTTTGTGGTTTGTTCACTTCTTCCCTGGGTGCCGACCTGCCATCCTAGAGGTTTCTAGGAGTTATTTAATCTATGCCATACATTTTTGGGTAGTTTTTGGCTCAACTGGACTTCAGCAGTATAGTTTCCATGGCTTGTGTGTGCAGTTGGTTCAATTTTTGGCTAATTTGCTTTTATTTTTTCATGTGCCGGCTAGTATGAGTGTTGGGTCGATACTTGTTCAAGGTGTATGACTGTTCGACAACAAGAGAGAGGGAATGCAGGTCGTCTTCCTTACATTGATCGATTGAACGAGGGTTCGCAAATTTGTCTACTACAATGCCAAAGTATATTACTTATAAGCTAATAAGTTATTAGCTTAGTAATAATAACCCTACTCAAAATAGGAAACTAAACCCTATTACAAAAAGAAAACTAGAATCCCTAAAAAATAAGAAACCAAATATTACTAATATCCTAATTCAACTATATTTCCAATTGAATCTTTACCCATTACTACCATGGCTTTGGTCACCTAGCAAAGTGTGAGTGTTGAATCTTTTTATTAAGCCCAATTATCAGGTAAGCTTCTTATAATTTTACACAAAGACTGGCTCAAAATTTATTCTAATGGGAAAAAAGTTAGATATTGATGTTCTTATCATAACAATAACAAAAGAACAAAGAGAAGAAAAATACCCAATACAATGACTAAGCTGACTTTTGTTGGCTATATCATAGAATACCATATACGTCTATAATACCAGAAGGAAACACTAGATCAGTTGCAGCTCTTACAACAACCCGTGCCACTAAATTGACGTTCACTGGAGGTGTAAACAGAGGGCCAACCAATGGGATTTGGTTGAGTGGCTTCGCATGTTGGAGAACCTACAGTGGTAACTTAACAACACTATTTTGATTTCATACCAGAAATCATCTTCTTTTATCTCATAATCAATTGGAAGAAATTAATTATCTAAGAATTGTGCTAATGGTTGAGGGTATGAGAATTCCGAGAGCTTCTAAATGCACCCACTAAACTTTTCTCTACACCCACATGTACATGTATTTCTCCATAAGATAAAAATTCTACAATGCATATGGTGGGTGTGAAGACAAATTAAGAGGGTGTATTTAGAAGCACACAAAAATAACATGCACCCACAATTAGTTGCAAATTTCAATTGTAAATAATCAAAATTGCTATTAGTCATCACGCTCAGAAGATGATTAAAGGATCTTGTAACAGATTATAAATATATAATTGCCCTTAGGCTTGTGTTGTATTCAGTTTGGGAACCCTCCTATTTAGCAAAAAAGTCAAAAGTTACTAAATTAGCCAAAAAGCCAACAATCCATACCAAAAAGTCAAAGATTCTCTTTTCTCTCTACTTTTTGCACATCTTTTCGTAAAAAGTTAAAAAGTCATCACAAACATACTCGTTTTTTTTAGCTCATATTTTAGCCAAATAGCCAAAAAGTTACAAAATTAGCCTGTTCCCAAATGAGGCCTCAGTATATTAAGCTCAAACTGAACCTTCCCACAAAGACAATGTTTCTTCGCGACAATAAAGTCAAAAGTAGATCTCATGACATTCATTTCAATCAATCATAAGAAATTGAAAAAAGATTTGAAGAGAAAATTGAAAAAGGAGATGACCAGTTCAATCAAATACCCTCACTGATAATATCCTTCAAAAGATACAACAGTATTGTGATTGTTGCTTATTATGTTGATTTTCAACTGGACACTCCAGCAGCTTAGGTCCTATTACCCCAATAAAGAAACTCAAGTTCGGGTCTCCTTAACTTGCCTATTAAAGGAAAAATATATTTCTAGTTGCCCAATTGTTGCTTGCTAGGGAGAAGCTTCAATTACTTTGAGGCAATTGAACCGAAGTACACAAATTGATCAAAGGTAGCACAAACAACTTGATCTTAATACGAAATTATTGCCAAAGAAATTGAAGCACAAAACCACCAAAGATGTCCTTTATGCAATGGAACACTTTCTTTCTTTCTTTCTTTTTTTTCTGGAAACACATTAACTGAATAAGAACTGTGATACTATGCTAAATAGAGATGTCAATAATCTTGAAGAGAGAATACGAATTTTACCTCCATATGGGAACCTAATCATTAGCTCCGTTTCAGCTGCTTTTTGCATCAATTTATAAAGGCTACATTAGAAAAAAGAGAGTGACAAAGAAACTTTAAAAACAAAAGAATTCAAGTATAAACTATGACAAAATTGAGATATTGTAGAAATTATTAATTACATGAGAAACATGGCAGTTGTAGAAATGATTTGATGTAAATACAATCTGGAGATGTTCTATGTTCTGTGTATAGTACTCACCTTTCAGCATTAGTATTAGTTCACATTATACATCAATGTAATTTCTTTACCTCTTTATAATATATATATATATATATATATACGTGTTTTTAATTAAACTAAACAGTAGGAACCATTCAATTAAACTAAACAGTAGGAACCAAGTTTAATCTTTCAGACAAACAAAAAATGTTTGCACATTTTATTTTTGTTTTGCATAATTTGTTTGCAGTATAAAAATAACTAGAAAGCCAAATAGTACCTTCCGCTCATAATATCCTTATGGCAGGAAATTTGCCAAACTAATTTCCTAAACCCACCAAATACTTTTCAGCAAGAACATCAAAAATATATTTAGACAATATTTTCCTATGGTGTACTTTTTTAGCAAGAACATAACAATGTATGCAAAAATAGGTGTAGATACAAACTCACCAGAGAAAGAGGCTACAAGATCTCTAGTCTCTTGACTCCAATTGAACCCACGAATGGCCTTGTGCACACCCACATAGTCCAACATCGAAGAAAAAGTTTGTGATGCAGCTGAAGTTCTTTAGCTAGCTGCTAGAGTTCAAAGTGATCATCTGTCAAAAGTAACCTTGATTCTCAACAAGTACAATACAATTCTGGAAGTCAGCAACCATGATTTGATGGGATAAAAATAGCCCCGTCACCATAAAATCAAGAAAAAAAAACTTGAAAGAACTATATGGGACATGAAACAAATTTACCTGGAAGCAAGGTAAGCCTTTGATGTCATCTTTAGTGACAAATAGCCATCTAGAAAAGGAAAAATATAAAAAATAGAAGAATGTAGAAAAGAAAGAGATAGAAGTTTAGAGGCATAACCAAATGAAATCGAAGAGGAAGAGAAAAAATGCCATGCTCAACAACGGTTCATCCAAAAACCACACTCAAATTATATCAAGTTTAATACTTTCAGAATCACACCCCTATATCTCACTTTCAGAATCATACTTTCAGAATCACACCCCTATACTTTCAAAGAAAGGAACTAAGAATTTTAAGTATGATCACACCCCTATATTTCACAGAATTGAACAATCAAAGCTAAATTCAGAATCTAAGAAAAGGTCTACTCAACCACCATACATATAAATCAATAAAGTTCCACAATCAAAATCATCTGATTAAAAAAAATGAACACAAACCCTAGAAGACAAATTGACAATCAAACAAGAAACAAAATGAGACCAACAATGTCAAAATTTTACACATAGAAAAAATGACACTAAATAATGGGGCACTATTGCTACAACACAAAACATATATATATACATAAACCCTAAAACCATCGTAAAACCCCAAATCAATGACACTGAACAACACAGTCATACAAAATCAACTCACATGTCGTCGATGTAGATGTTGCCTAGAAGATGAATCGAATAGGGCCATTCGTCTTGGAATGTAATCCCCTGCGTTGAAACCTAGAGCGAGAGAGAGAGAGAGAGAGAGAGAGTAAATTAGGGTTTGATAAGAAGAGAGATCAATAATGGGATAGAAGGATGGGTAATGTGTGTGCCTGAAGGATGAGGTCGTCGCAGATATCGGCGATCTTGTCGTAGGATTTGGAAGCCATTGCGTCTCTGTGGATTGCTCATGACGGTCAGATCTCGGCCTAGGATTCAAATCTGATTTAGATTTCGACAATCTTCTCGGATCCGGTAGAGGCACCAGTAGAGGAGGAGGAGAAGGAAGAGGATCATCGACGGCGGTGGGTGTTTAGGAGAGAGAGAGAGAGAGGCACCAGCGGAGGACGGAGGAGGATCATCGACGGCAATGGGGATCTGCGGCGGTGTGTGAAAACCCATCTTTTAATTATTCTTTAAAGAAAATTAATTAATTAATTAATTTTGTCCACAGTCTATCTGAATTATATATTAGTGTAAAAGTTAGTTTTAAATCGACTCAATTCAATCACTAACAAGACATTATTAAGAATAATAATTTTGTGGGTGTTCAATATTTGTTGTTTATAAATTATTTTAATTAGGATTCAATATAATAACTATTCTTACTAAATACCTTAGTTAAAAATCTTAGTGTGTCAATTTTCAAAAATCCCATGCAAAGAGAGGCTTGGTTTGCTCTTTCGTACAAGTGAGGGAAAATTAGAAGAAAAAAAAAATCTCAGCTAACAGTAGAAGGAGAAGAAGAGAGGAAGGTTAAGGAAGCAAAAATTTTCTACCATTTTATCAACCATTTGAATCCTACTGTTAGGTAAGAAAACCCTCTCAATCCTCTCATTTTTTTTTTTACATTATTGAAATTTTCAGATTGTGTACATATGATACATTGTCTAAATTGTGTTGAAGATAATCTATCTTGAATCTGCCAGCATGTTGCCCGAATTTTTAGACAATTTTATACTCAAAATTTCAAGATGATTTATTCTACAAAGTTGTTGATAATGATGTCTAGTTTATCCAAAAAGTTTTGGAAATAATTTTTGAGCTTTCTACGAATTTATACAAATTTTTATCTAAATCTGAAACTGTGTTGAGAAATCTGTCTTGAATCTGCCAGCATGTTATCCGAATTTTTAGACAATTTTATACTCAGAATTTCGAGATGATTTCTTCTACAAAGTTGTTGATAATGATGTCTAGTTTATCCAGAAATTTTTGAAAATAATTTTTGAGCTTTCTACGAATTTATAAAAAAATTTAACTAAATCTGAAACTGGGTTGAGAAATCTGTCTTGAATCTGCCAGCATGTTACCCGAATTTTTAGACAATTTCATACTCATAATTTCGAGATAATTTCTTCTACAAAGTTGTTGATAATGATGTCTAGTTTATCCAGAAATTTTTTGGAAACAATTTTCGAGCTTTCTACGAATTTATACAAATTTCTAACTAAATCTGAAACTGTGAGACAGATTTTACCATGTATTTGAAAATTTATTTAAAATTCTATACTAAGCCAAATCTGATAATTTATAACTAGAAGATGAAATTTGAGAAGTCTAGTTTCATAATAAATTTTTAGATTATGGGTTTGATCTATAAATTTAAGCATGGAATTAATGTAAGGAAATGTGACAAATCTGTGTCATAAACACCCTTGGAATTTGTTTAGAATTATTTATAAGTTATTTTGGAAAAAGCTTTCTAAAAAATAACCATAACATGTTTATTGAGTATCCTGTAGATTTATATGAATTTTAGAGTTGTATAAGTAATGTATTTATAATTTTAATTGTAAGATATATACTCTGAAAATTTTTTTGGACAGAATAAAATCACCACTTTAATATTATGCTAGTCTAATTTTGTAAATCAAAAATTTGTGCATGTGTGTATTTAGGGTTTAATTCTTGTATCTAAGTTATTATTTCATACCATGGTTTAAATAAATTTTTTATTTAAATTCTGTACTTTTATTTAGTATTGTGTGACACATGCAATATTTTATGATTGGGAATTTTAATGAGTTGATATAACATTATTTGTGATTAAAATTTTGAAATTATTTGTGATTAATATCAAAATTAACTGAAATGATTAATGGCATATATTTTGTTGCCCTGGCGTTTCATGCCAGATTATGTTGAAGAAGGGACTGAGGCTGAAATTGGAGCTGCTGCCAATATCGAACATTGGCTGACTTAGAGTCAAGATTTTGTCAGAATAAAATCCTGTTATCCCTTGTATTAGGATTAAACTATGTTGTGACGTTGTGTGTGAACTCGTAGTTTTATTTTGTCGTTGGACTTTGGCTTTGTAAGAACTTAAAAGTTCCTAACTAGTAGTTAAAATTTTATCTAGCAAGTTATTGTTATTTAAAATCTTATGACGTTTCAAAAAAAAAAAAATTTTGGGGCGTCACACGGTGGCCGTGGCCGTGGCCGTGGCGATCTATGCCGGCGGTGGTGGTCTGCGGTGAGGTAAGGTTTGGTGGTGAAGGAGAATCTGTGTGAGGTTTGAACAAATGGTTGTAAACAGAGAATAGCGGCGGTGATATATCTCACTAAAAAAACATTCCACCTTTAGCGACAAAATTTGTTTTTTGTCGCAGAATCTTAATATATAACGACTAAAATTTGGTCGGCCATTGTCTACCAGTGCATTTAGATATCAAAATGACGTCGTTTTGATATCTGCGACTAAATTATTTTAGTCGCTAAAAGATTATATTGTTCCCGCCCAATTTTTCACCTCCTGACATCATTTTTAGCGACTAATATTTTAAATTGGTCGAAAAAAATCACTTTTTGCAACAAAATTACTTTAGTCGGTAATAGTATCAACTTTTAGCTACGAAATGTTTTTTGGTCGGCAAATGTCATTTTTTGCGACTAAAATTTTTTTAGTCGGCAAATGTGTAAATTCTTGTAGTGAGTTCAAGTGCATATTTTCTTACAATGCACACAACTTCTAAAGCCTCAACCTTGAGCGGAGGTTTTGAATCTCTAATCGAGCCTTTTTTTTTTCTCGAACCTCCTGCAATTCAAAACACTGTATAAGTGAGCCCAAAGCCAAGGAAATTGCCCGCACACCCATGTTGGCACCTGGACACGCCCTCCTCCCTATTCCAAATGGAAAAAATTTGAATCCTTCTCTTTCCCCTTTAAACCTTTCTGGCTTGAACTTGTCAAGCTCTTCCCAAACCTTGGGATCCCTATGCATGTCCAAAGCATTCACCAATAGTCATACCGCGAGGTATTTCAAATCCCCCAACAGTTCAATCTTCAGATGAATAATGTGGTAATAGAAGCGGCACAAGAGGATATAGTCTTAGGGTTTCATTGATGACACATTGGAGAAAGGGAAGCTTAGAAAGATCGAAGTCATCTAGCAAACGCCTATGTCCAACATGATTGTCAACCTCTGCTCTGGCCTTCTGGAACGTTGACGGATGATTTAAAAGAAGCAACACTACACGTTCCATCATGACTGTTGATGTTTCTGTTCCTCCCAAAAACATCACCTAAAGCGCAAGTTAAACGTGTCTTAACAGCATTAAAACTTAAGAAGTCATTCAACTTAAGAGCATCTCCAACCCATCATCTACTTTTTTTCATTTTTAAAAAATTTTCACCTCCAATCCATCTCTATTTGGAAGGAGGATGTGTTGATCCTCCATATTTGAAGGGAGGATAAAAAATAAAGAACTACCTCTAAAATACTATTCATTTTATATTTTTTATTATATTATAAATAACTTTTAATATGTAAATTCAATTTTTATATAATTGACATCATTAAAAAATGTGAAATCATACCTTTAAAATGAGTATAATATTAAAATATTTTACAAAATTTTCAAAATTAAATATTTGTTAATGAACAAAAATTATTCACTTTTTGATAAAAATATTTTCAAGAGAAATCTTTAAAGAATAAAATGATGATTTATGGTTGAAATTTGAGTGAATAGTGAGATACTTTATATTCACTTTTTTAAAAAATATATATTTGCATTCTTTAATTAAGAGTGTTTGGTTGGAGATGCTCTAAGTCTCTCCCAACCACACTACCTAAATTTTAAAAAAAAAAAAAACATATATAATTATGTGATGTAATAGCATTTTGTCAACCCCCATGAAAATAATGGATATGCATTATTAACAATTTAGTCAACAGAATAGACTCATTCAATTAGACGAGAGTATTTAAGTTGAATCTGGGTTGGAAGAGTAAAGATAGGTATCATGAAAAAAATATTAAGAAAATAATCATGAAAGATTTTTCACCGTTAGATTACACATACAAAAAGACACCACACACTAATCAAATGATGAAAACTCTTCATAAAACATTTCATCATATTTTTTTCATGATCCCTGATATTATTTGGGTTGGAATAGGTAGGCGCGCCTGAGACTGAGACTGGAATTCCCCTATCTAAAATTCTTCCAAGTCCAGTTCAGCTCCAACCCTTCCCATTCAATGTACTCAGCCTGTGTTTGGCAAGTGCGTTTGCAGGCTTTTTTAGCTATTTTAGCCACAAAAAACAAAATAGGCTATTTTAGCCACAACAAACAAAACATCACATTCAACCCATAATCATTACATTCTTCTCTCACAAAAAAAACTCAAAAAAGCCAAAAAGCCCTTCACAAACCAAGCTTTAAAGTCCAGGCTAAAATAGCCCAAAAAGCCAAAAAGCCAACCCACTTCCCAAACGGAGGCTCAATAGACAACACCCAAATTGCTGCCTCTTTCTTTTTATAAGTCGTCACTTCCAATCGCATCACATTTATATTACAACTCAGGATAATTGTTCTGTACAATCCCTTATTAGTTGCTTCGAAAGCCACTAGTACACACATGAAAACAGAGAACCATAAAGGGACATTTGAACAGTAGACACTACTCAAAGCTG